GCAAGGTGCTACACACTTTTAAACAAGCAGATCTCGTAAAAACTCACTATCCTAAGAACAGCATCAAGTGGATGATACTAAATTATTCATAAGAAACCACACTCATAATCCAATCCCCTCCCACCAGGCCCCACCTCCACTCTTGGGGAAAACAACTGAACATGAGATTTGGCTGGGGGCACAGATACAAACCATTTCAACCTGTTTCCTCCCTTACTCCTACCAAAGTCTATTGTCAATGTACAGCCAATGTGGCCTTATTTCAGTGTAAATCATATAATTTTACACCTCCCAAACCCCTGCAGCAGCTCCTTATTTCTCTAAGCATAAAAACCAAAATGTTTGTCATTGCCAGAAGGCCATGCCTGGTCTGGTGTCTCATGACCTCTCTGACTTGCTGTCTTCATACTTCCCCTCTCTCACTATGCATTGACCTCACAGCTGTTTGCTCCTCCCTTGAGGCCTTTGCTCCAGCTGTTCTCTCTAGAATGCTCTTGCCCCACACAGGAATGACTAACTCCCTCCTGCCTTCAAGCTCTTGTTCAAATCTCACTTCTCCCATGACTACCTTACCAGCCCCCACTATATGAGAGTGGGGACTCTCAGATGCCCACTATTCTGCTCTTCACTCTATGCTTTTACTGTCTCCTAACATGCTATCCAGCTCCTTCCGGCATAAAAGCATTTATTATGTTTATTGCTTATTGCCTATCTCTCCCCATCTGATATGGTTTGGCTGTGTCCCCACCCAAATCTCATCTGAAATTCCCATGTTGTGGAAGGGACCCAGTGGGAGGTAATTGAATCATGGAAGTAGGTCTTTCCCATGCTATTCTTGTGATAGTGAATAAGTCTCACAAAATCTGATGATTTCATAAGGGGGAGTTATCCTGCACAAGCTCGCTCTCTCTCTTCACCTGCTGCCATCCATGTAAGATGTGACTTCCTCCTCCTCCTTGCCTTCCACCATGATTGTGAGGCTTCCCCAGCCATGTGAAACCGTAAGTCCATTAAACCTCTTTCTTTTGTAAATTGCCCAGTCTCAAGTAGTCTTTATCAGCAGTGTGAAAATGGACTAATACACCATCTCTACCGCCACTAGTTCCTTGTCTGTTTTGTTCACTGATGTATTTGAAACATGTATCACAGTGTCTGGAACATAGTACGTGTTCAATATATTTGTTGAATGAAATCAAGTAATTTGTTCTCTTACTTAGCAAATTTATAGAAACTCTGTGTGAGGCATAGATTTGAGTGGGTACAACAGGAACAAGGTAGGCTGCCTACTCATACCTAGCTTATAACATAGTAAAAGAAAGGAATTACATAAAGAACTCTAATACACATCAGTGGGACTGGGTTTAACAGGACCCAGGACTTGCAGAATGCCACAGAAAAAAATCAAAAGGAGTATAAGACTCAGAAGAGAGCACATTTGCCTCTGCCTAGAATGACTAGATGCCCTTGTGGATGGAGTATTTGAAGTGAACTTTGAAAGACAGGTGCTGGTTTGATAGGTGAACATAGAGAATGAGGTGTTTGTGAATAATAAACCATCTTAGAAGGCATCAGAGTGACAAAAGGAAAGGACACCATCATATATTAATAGTTTAATATTTATGTTAGTAAGTTATAGTCTTACTAACATTTATTTGGACTATAAGAGCTTTGTTGAAAGGAGAGGTAAAGGTATTGAGTTATCTCAAACATATAGGAAAAAAATGATAATTGAGACAATTTCATAGAGCATTGAATGCCAAAATAAGGAATTCAACTTAATTTGTCTTACAGAGGGCAGAGGATCCATTGTGGGGTTTGGAACAGGGCGCTGGGGGAGGTGGAGAGCATGATCATACTCTCCACCAGAAGGCCAGCGAACTCCTTGAGAGCAGAGATTTTGTTTTATTTATCCTTGGACCCCCAGTGCACACCACAGCACCTAGCATATTAGTGGGTGATTGATAAATATTTTTGTTTCAACCAGTGATGAGGGAGAGGGTAGAAAATATTTGTCAAACAAATAAGTCACTTCTGACAGCTGTAAGGAGAATGGCTTAAAGAAAGGACAGTGAAGAAGGATGGTAAAACTTGGAAATAGGGTGGCTTCAATGAAAGGAATGATTAGATACAAGTGACACTACGTAGGAACACCAAGAGGATTCAGACACTGTTTGGACATGAGGGTTGAGAGTAAACAATGACTTCTCCCCCAAGACAGCCTAAATCTACTCAATCATAACATATTCAAACCACAAGATTTTTAGCAGTAGAACCAGATTCAGAGGTAAATGCAAGAATTCCAATGTGCGCTTAGAAACTAACATCTAATTAAAACAGTCAACCCCTATTTCCCCTGCAGTTCTGGCCAAAACACACTTTTATGCATAATGATTCTTCCACAAAGGCTGTGTTTGCAATCATCTACTCTATTGTCTTTTAATCTGTACCAGCTTCCAAGCTAACCCAATTTTCTTGCATTTCCCTGTTGCTCATCTCCAAATACGGTTTCACCAGCAAATTTCCCAAGTATCCTTTTATTCTGTCTACAGGAAGATTATTAATGAAGATGTTAAGTCAAGCTGGCATACATCACGATGCTTAAGGCCATCTTCTAGACATTTTTGCTCTACTACATGGGGATATGGTGTCATTTGTCACCAGGTCTTGTTACAGCTTTCTGGCCCTTGAAAAACTCATGGGAGGGCACACATGTCCACATCTACTTGAATTAGTCTTGCAAGTGAACTCATGAGCAACTGAATTAAATGTCATCTCAGGGTTGAACATCTGTTACATCACACTAATCTATCACTCTTTTCTCTCCTAAATCTTTACAATCAAAACAAATTAGTCTGGCATGGGATTTCCAATCAACCTTCTCTTTTGTTGTGTGTGTCTCATGCCCAAAAGGAAATAATAGACCAGTTGATAAAAGTAACAAAATTTCATTACTGCTTCAAACAGGGTCAAGTGGTAAATAAAGAATAATGACTCCTTGGCAATTAGTGAAATGAATAGCAATAGGACAGCCTCAGCAGAAGATGAGTATGAGACTCAGCCTCCTGAAACTTATCTCATAACAGTCTTGGAGATAAATCAATGTGTGGTTTCAGAATCAGGAATAGTTGCAGCTTTCCTGACTTGTGTTTTCCTACTGGCGCCTTGATTGTGTAACTAACAGAGATTCTCTTTCTTCATTTGCTAAAGAAGTTGAACATTATATGGGTGCCTCAGATACATACAGTAGGGGCATAATGATGGGATGATTTTTGGCCTCACTCCTGACTCCATTTAATCACCATATTATTTTCCCTGCTTCTTTTCCCTTACTTTTTGTTTAATTGTGGTAAAATACATATAAAATTTACCATCTTAACCATTTTGAAGTGTACAATTCAGTGGTATTAAGTACATTTATAATGTGAAATCACAACCACCACCCATCTCTAGAAGTCTTTTCATCTTGCAAAACTAAACCTTGTGCTCATTAAACAATAATTCCCTGTTCCTCCTTCCCCCAGTCCCTGGCAACCACCATTCTACTTTCTGCCTCTAAGACTGTGATTACTCTAGGTACCTCATATATCTGAAGTTATACAGTGTCTCTCACTTTTTATTGAATGTTATTGTCTTAGTCCATTTTTTGTTACTTATAACAGAATACCTGAAACTGTGTAATTTACAAGGAAGCAAAATTTATTTCTTACAGTTATGGAGGCTGAGAAGATCAAGGTAGGGGGGCTGCATCTGGTGAGAGCGCTGCTGCTAGTGGAGACTGCAGTCCTGAAGCATCTCAGGGCATCACATAGAGAGGGGGCTGAGCATGCTAAAGTGTTAGCTCAGGTCTCTCTTCCTCTCTTATAAAGCTACCAGTTTATCTTCCATGATAACCCACTAATCCATTAATCCATGAATAGATTACTCCACAATTCAATCACCTCTTAAAAGCCCCACCTCTCAATACTGTCACATTGTGGATTAAGTTTCAACATGTGTTTTGGAGGGGACATTCAAACCATAGCAACTATCCTCTTAGATGTTTTGTAAGATTATAACCAGTCTTGAAACAACACGGAGAGTGAATAAATAAACAAAATATTGCCTGAGGTCAAGAGGAGTTCTATTCTGTATTATGAAGTCAGTGATAAGGACATAATGCTTGCTAATTAGAGCAAAACACAATGGAGCCTAAGAAATATTCATTATTTAAATGGTTAAATGTTCAGATAAAAAAAGCCTATTTAAAATAACAGTAAGGTCAAGGGAGAGATTGAATATAACGCAGATTCTCTCAAGGGGAGAAATATTAAGATAATTAGCAAGGAAGCAATTGTAGATTCCAAACCATAGATTTAATCAGCTAAATGCCAAAGTGCTGGTTACGAAAATTACCGGCAGAGGTGCCTGCAAGATAATGGTTCTCAAACCTTAGTGTACATATGAATTAATCACCACAAGCCTATCTAATCAGAACCATAATGACTGCAACTCAGGAGTCTGAATGTGTCACCAGCTACCCTGGTGGTTTGGAGTCAGGAGGTTCTTATCAGTGTTGAGAAATGATCAGTGCAGATTAGACCAGAGGCTGTGGGGCTTGCCTCTGTCCAGTTTGCTAGTATAATCTTGGATTATACTATGACTGTAGTGCCATGGTATCCATTACTACCTATTTCACTGCTTCACTTTCTTTCCTACATTTAGTGTGGCCTGACTAAGCTATTGAAAGAGGGGAAGAGGCAGGAGTGAATGACCCCCTGCAGCAGAGGGTCAGCACAGGCCCTGCTGTTCTCATCATCATCATAGCCTTGAGACTAGACTTCATGGTGGTTTTATCTTGGTTTTTTCGTGGTTTTTTTTCCTCTTTTTTCTGGTCTGCCTTTGTGTCATCAGGTACAAACTGACTGGAGGGAAAATGCTGGCGTCCATGGAGCTGTGTTCAGCATGAAAGATCAGTGTCTGGCTTCCCTCTCGTTCATAGCTCTCATTTTCTTTCTTTCTAGAATATGTCTGTGCTGGAGAATCACCACTGGCGTTCTACAATTGGCATGCTTCGAGAATCAAGGCTTCTTGCTCACTTGCCAAAGGAAATGACGTAAGTGCTGCCGAGATGAAACGTACTGATGTGCACGCAGTAATGATAAGCCACTTTCTCTAGGGCAGGCTTGGGACCCCTTGTGTGAATGGCGGAGAGCCAGCCGGCTGTGCTTCCTGCTTGCACTGAGCTGTCTATCAGAGGAGATTTGGTGTCTGTTACAGCAACCCAGAAACCAAAATCTCTCTGTGCACTTTGAAAGGGCCTTGCACAGTCAATGACCTACAGTCAGGAAAAGGGATAATAAACAGCTCTCAGTTTTCACACACTTCAGCCTGAGTGCTCAGCTTTGCCAAATCCCTGTCCTTTAGATTAGCAAAATTGCCCTCCTATGTAGATCCAAATAATAAATATTTATCAAGAAGGAACCCAGACATTCTCAAGATAGATTTAAAATTAGTTCAAAAAAGTATGTTTTCTAATTGCCAGTCTTAGCAAAAATAGAAGTCAGAAATTCTTTTCTAAAAAGTCTTTTGCTAAGTAATTGAAATGGCCCCAGCAGTTTTTTTTTTTTTTTTTTACCGCTTAACTTACTTTATGTCTCTTGCACTTTAAACATAAGGGGAGACACTCGTTTTCTGGTTCACTATTTGATAGCCATGGTATGTAGGCTGAGTCCTACTAAATCAGAGGCTATTGCTTCATTTTCCTCATGCCCCCAAGTTAGCTGCTAATACTAAGGCTGCCACTAATTCTGATCTGTTTAATGAACATGTGCCCAGAACCCAAGAAACCTAGGTGAAAAGAGTATACAGATTGCTGTACCCTTCTTCAAGACAGGCACGTAACTTGAGGTCAAGGACCAAGTGGTGTCTCCCATCTGAACAAGCGCCACACTCTGGGTTATGGGTTGGTTCCTGGCCCCCTGATTTGATATGCTGTTTCCTGGCACCCAGAGGGATGTGAAATTTGCAGGAAGAATTCAGTTCTGATAAATTTTTACTCCCTGGAACTAAATAAAACCAGTTCTTGTGCATGGAATAAAAACTTATAACCTTTTACTAGAATAATAGATTGCAAAGACTGAAAGAATTAAATGCAATAAGCACTAAAAACTAGAGCAAGAAATCAAGCGAGAAGAGAGAGGAGGTAAGTGGTAGAGACAGATAAAGAAGAGAGGAGAGGAGGGAAGGAAGAATAGTGAGGACAGGAAAGAAGGAAATGCAAGGGAAAGGGGAAAGAAGGACTCTTGGGTGGCCAGGCTTCTCCCAGTCCATACCTGCGTTCATCCTATTTGTTACTCAATTACTGTTTGTTTCCTAAAATACTCATTTCATGTCTATGGATTCCAACAAAAAATATATTTTTATGTGTCTTTGTGGAACACAGTGTTATAAATTCCTTTTGCCAGAAGAATAATTGTTATACAATAATATATGTGAAAGGACTTTATAACAAAATCCATTATCAGAATCATTATTTTTCTACCTCAGGTAAATGCTTTAATGTCATTTTTCTGATTTTAAAAGTAGGGCAGGTTAATTATAGAAAGTAAGGGAAATTCAGGAAAGTGTTAGTTTGAACTCTGTAAAATTGTTCTTTTTAAGGACCAGAAACAGCAGACTTTTAGCACTTTCATGTGATTCGGCTTGATATAAAAGAGAAACCTGAAATTACTAGGAACTCTGCCATCCAAGGATAGTTCACGTTAACCTGCCTATTTTCTTTTAGTCTTTTTTCAATACAACATATTTTAACAAAATATGGTTATCTGGGAAACTTATTTTATAGTTTATGTCCTGAAATTTTATCTGCTATAAAGACTTTTTTCCAAGTCATTAAACCTGTTACTTAAAATTATTTTATCAGCCATATGGCATTATTGTGCTAAGTGACATTATTGTACACAACTACTGCCTTTCATTTGGAATGTAAGTGCTTTCCAGTATCCCAAGCTTTGATACCCTGTTTTCTCCGGAAATATTTGTAGATAAAAATTATTGGTCAGAAAGGTCTAAATGTTTAAGTTTCTTGTTGTATATTACCTCATTGTGCTTCCAAAAGACTTTATCTATCTGCATTCCCACTGATGGATTAATAAGAAAAAGTACTAATGTACCATCACCAAAATTGAGCTTTATCTTTTAAAAATATTTGCAAATTTGATGTTTATGAATATATATACACAAATATATATGTATATATAGAGAAAGTGGTTTTCATTAAATTAGTATGCATCCATTTCTTACAACCAAGATTGAAATTTTTCCATATATTTATTGATCATTGCTATTTCTTTAGAAAGCACATTTTTATATTTGGTCTTTTCCTATATTTTTATTAGTGTTATTTATTTTAGAATTCTTTGTATATTAACTACAGTAACCATTTGTTATATGTTGTAAATATTACTTGAAGTTTTTAGTTTGCCTTTTAATTTGATTCATGAAGCATTTCACCTAATTTTATTTTCCAATTATAAATTTAGTAAGTATTCATATTTTCAAAGAAGTCATATAATTTTGAGAACAAGAAAATAAAAATCAATCCTAATCCCCTTATAGATCTTTGCATTTTTTATGACCATAGAGATGCTTTATATGCTTTGCATTCCATTTTTAACAATAAAACATAACATTTTTCAATGTTAATTACTAACGCTGTACATCATCATACTTAATTGTACAGTATGAGTGTACAATTTAATTGTTTAACTAATCTCATTATAAATTTTTGTGATTTTTTTTCCCTGTGGAATATTTCATTATTGTAAATAACAATCGAATAAGCATCCTTATAACATATATCTTTACTAACATGTTAATGTAAATTTATAGATGAACTATTGGTCAATTTATTTATGTTCACCAAATGGTTTTTCCACTGATTCCTAAATTACCCTCCAGAAACATTGTACTAGTTTATATTCCCTAACAGAGAATGAGGGGAACCATTTTTTTCTCATATCATTGACAGCATTGGGTATTACAGTCTTTCAATAATTCAGCAAATTACTTAGCAGTTACTTTTAATCCTCACCAATAAAAATGGGAGAAATGATATCATATAGTAGCATAGCAGAAAGTAAATTAAAACCAAGAATATTTAATATCACTTTATTTTTGAGATGTGAATTTTTGTGAATTTTCTGTTTTATATAATTTTTCATGTTCTGAACTGGATTAAAGATGTATGTATGGCTTAAAAACAAAAACATTAGTGATGAAACTACAAAACTTTTAGAATATAATGTAGGGAAATTTTTCATCAGAGTTGGGAAAAATTTATTAAAGAGGAGAAAAAACTAGCCATAAATAAAAAGATTTATGGATTAAGCTACATTTAAAAATTAGACTTCTTGGTGGCATGGTGGTTCATGCCTATAATCCTAACACTTTGGGATGTCAACAAGGGAGGATCACTTGAGGCCAGGAGTTTGAGACCAGCCTGGTGAACATAGTGAAACCCCATCTCTATTTATAAATTTAAAAATAGAAATTATAAAAATTAAGACTTCCTTTCATCAATAGATATCATAAAGACGGCTAAAAGACAAACCACAGATACAATATTTGCAACTCATAGCTGACAAAGGACCAGTGTTTAAAATATGTAAAGAACTTCAGAATCAATAAGAAAAAGGAAGACAACTCAATAGAACAATAGATAAAAACTAGAGTGGAAACTTCACAAAAGAAGGAGTACACAGGCCAATAAACACATGAAAATGTGTCCAGGCTCATTATTAAACAAGAAAATTCATATTAAAACTACAGCAAGTTGCATGACATGCCCCACCAAACTGGCAAGAAATGCAAAAGGTAAGAATGTAGAACAATGACAATCTCATCTGCTATTGCTGACAGCTTAAATTCACACCATCATTTTGGAAATAATTGACACTATCCAGTAAACTGAAGATAAACATACCCTGTCGTCCAATTATTGCATTCCTGGACGTAGACTCTAGGGAGACTTCTGCACATGCATAACTAGAGGTACATAAGAATATTTACTGTGGCTCTTTTCATAGTAGCCAAACAGTAAGAAACAACTCAAGTGACCATGATAACTAGAACAGAGAATGGAAAGGATCAATGGAATTTTATACAACGGCGTACACTGTAATAATGAAAGAGGATAAACCACAGCCTACACACGTCAACATGAAGGAATTTCAGAAACATGATTTGTAGCTAAAGAAGTCAGTCACTAATACATACCATATAACTTAAAGTCCAAAAGCAGTTAAAATTAAATTGCATGGTTTAGAGATGCACTCACAGGTGGTAAAATTGTAAGTGGCAAGAAAATTATTAAAACAAAGACCAAGAAAGTGGTTACTTCTGGGCTTGAAACGAAAGGGCTGTGATGAGACAGGCAATGTGGCCTTCTGGGGTACTGGCAGGCAATGTTCTTGACTTGAGTGGTGATTACGAGGTGTTCATTTTCTATTTATTCATTAAACTATGTATGTATTCCCTATGCATTCTACTTATTTCATTTTTAAAGGTAAATTTTACAAATATTTATGAATTTTATTACCTTTTATATGTGAAGCTCTAATTTGCTTTAGCTAAGATATTCCATTTTCTCTCTACCTTCTGTTGACTAATATATCTCTTGCCCACTGGCTTATAACAATGTATCAGTTTTTGTTTTTGAAGTTCCAGAATCTCTTTCTGGCCTATGTACTGTGTTCCACTGACGGACCTTTCCATCCCATGGTACCATTTACTATGATTCTCTTCACTGTTATTACTGCTGTTATGCCCTCTTCTCTCTCCATGCAAATCTTCATGTTTGAATTAGTTTGAACTCTAAAAACACAACACCAATCTCATGATTCTGCAAGTCTTTTGTGTCCTCCCTAAAGCAGGCATTTCTATTTGCCTTTCAGTTTTTTCACCCATAGGAATGTCCACACTACCACAACGTTGTTTTCCAAGGTTTCAATCACTTTATGCTGTCCTTGGTATGCCTCCTGTCCAAGGACGGAACTGGTGGGTGAGAGACTTGCTCTTAGGCGGTGAAGGACTGGCACATTGTGTAATAAACAGAATAAAAGGCAGAAATGAGATTACAAGCCACCTGATGATGAGAAAATCAATCACCCTCATCAAAGGGATTTGCTTTGTGTGTTTTTCTCTTTCATTCTTGTGGATGCAGACAGGATATTGAACAGCAGCTGGGCTCCTTGATCTTGGCAACAGACATCAACAGGCAGAATGAATTTTTGACCAGATTGAAAGCTCACCTCCACAATAAAGACTTAAGACTGGAGGATGCACAGGACAGGCACTTTATGCTTCAGGTAAACAACAGTAAAAGCCATTCTTCTTGTTGAATAAAAACACTCAGCTGGGCTGGGTGTGGTAGCTCATATCTGTAGTCCTAGCTACTTGGGAGGCTGAGGCAGGAGGATCGCTTAAGTCCGTGAGTTCAAGGCTGCAATGAGCTATGATTGCACCACTGCACTCCAGCCTGGGTGACAGAGTGAGATCCTGTCTCTAAAAATACAAAAAGCAGCAACACCAATCCACTCAGGGCCACGATCAATAATTTTCGCATGTTTGAGAAGGAATTATCTCCCATGGTATGAGATCAATGACCTATTTTAGTAAAGGCTTTGAGATGCATGAAAATTATAAGTGGGTCCCAACCAAGCAAAGTCTGGGTTTCGTGTCAACAAGTTGATAATACCTCATTTTTCTTGTTTGGTAACTGATTTATCACAGAGTAATCCTGCTGGATGGCTGCATGCAGTAAAGTTCGAATACATTTTGTGTCTTGGTGTAAAATCAACTACTGCGATATGCAATTTTAAAAGTCTGTTTCTGAAATACAAAAGTATATTATATTAACTATAGTGCATACAAAAATTGAAAAACAAGTGGCCTTCCTTTACCTTAAACCTATTTAACCTGCTTTATTTCCTTTTACTACCTAAACTTCTATTTTCATCTGAGTCTCAAGCATGTTTATCTGATCTTACCATTTTTAGGCAGCAAAAAATAAAGTTGAATTGAATTGAATCAAGTCCATTCCTTCTGTTTTACTCCATGACAAGAAGCCATTTGTGACATGACAAATTACATCAGGGCAAAGTGGATGTCACCAGTAAAAATGTGGCCTGGCATGCAAACCAGAATCTTCTTTCTTGATCTTCCATTTTCTCTTCTTCCTCCTTTTCTTTTGGTGCAAAAGACATAATGAATGGACCCCAGACTCATCTAGATCGAGGAGATAGAGCAGCACTTGGAGATTGAATCGTTTAGTCCTTTTGTTCCAGGCTCTCCTGCTACCCTCTGTAGCTGTCCAAAGTGCTCCATCCTTGCCAGGAAATACCTTACTCCCAGCTGTAGAACTATGATTCCTTCCTTCCTTATTTCTTTCCAAACTAGGCTTCTAGTCCCTGAATGCCACAAGGATTAACCAGGTGTCTGATCTGAGTGACTAAAGCCAAGTTGTGAGTAGCTGAAAGATTTGACCTTAAACACGTGCATTTCAGAAGGAAGGCTTGCTAACTCAAATGCATCCCTTAAGGCACAAACTAGAGAAAGCTTCTCTGACACTTACCTACTTCAACCTGTACTGGTACCCCAACTAACCAGGAAATAAATATAAACAACCAAATTTGCAAGTTGATACGATCCAAGTCTCTTCCAGACCCCAACATTGCTATCAGCTCTGTGATCAGAAGGAATTGGGTCAAACCAGTGGGCACTGCTGGTCTCTTGGTAGCAGTTGGTGGTTAAAAGGGAGAATCTACTTCTCTGGGAATTCAAAGTAACCCTCCTAGAGTCATCATTACTGACAAAAAGCTGGTATCCCAGATCCAGACCAGTGTTAGGCAAGCCAAGAAGGCCCAAATTTAACTGTACAAACAAAGCATTCCTAGATTTGACATAACTTCATTGCCTGACTGGTGGTCTGAGTTTACACAGGCAGATATAATGCCAACATGCATAATTTCAGTGATGTATGGAGTTCCTCAGTGTGGCTACTGTGAGAGTGAAGTTCACATGACCTCACTTGAGCCTGGCAGGGACCCTGCAACCTCCCTGCCTGTAGGAGGTGGGGCAAGAAGAAACCAGGCCATAGCTTTCCTTGGCCTGCCCACCCAATTCTCCTCCAGCAAGCTCCACGTCCTTGGACTGTGGTTCGTCTCTGCTCCTCACTGCTATAAAGCCAGCATTCTCAATGCTGACTTTGTGTAGTGGTGAATAAGTGCAGTTTCCTGAAGAGGCATGTCAGGGAGGTACTCTGTAAATAGGGGCCTGGTACTGTGAGCAGACTGACGACTTGACAGCCTCTTTTGCTTGGGGTGCTTTCACAGCTAAAGAAGCTTCCTCTGACAATTTCTCCCTGCCCTGTCGTTTTTCAGATCGCCTTGAAGTGTGCCGACATTTGCAATCCTTGTAGAATCTGGGAGATGAGCAAGCAGTGGAGTGAAAGGGTCTGTGAAGAGTTCTACAGGCAAGGTGAGTAGTGGTCCAGCAGCTGAGATTTCACCGCCCCATCTTCTTTTAGGCATTTATCCTAATAAAACAGGAAACGGCTCATCTATCATGACATTTGTTCTCTCATCAACTCTTATCCTGACCTTTCTTTTTAACTCTCTTGCAACTCATCCAACCCTTCTTTGGAAAAAGTTAAAGATAAACAACACTGATGTATTGACTTACTATAGAAACAGGTAGTAATGAGGCAAAATAAAAATGAGCAAAAGTGGGACACTGATTATAAGTGGTTCTCCTCTGTGGATATAAGAATGTGTGGGACAGTTTGATTTTGACTTTGACCTTCATTTTAATGAGCTGAGCGCAGCCTAAAGGCTAAATGTCATTTGAGGTCAATGTTTTCCGCTGACAGAAGGACTTAGACTCCTTTTGTATTCCTTCTTCTTGTTTTTGTAAACAAAGTTAATAATGAAACTGGACACAACTGACCAGAAATTGAGCTCTTCCTTTCAAATATAGGTTCAACAGTGAAGTAGAAGAATTTTGCTGTGAAAAGACAAATGGCCCTGAATTAGGGTATAATTTTTAAAAGAATCAACCGCATTCAGAAATAAGGCAATGAATTAGCAAGCAGGATCTTGCTGTTGGGTGGGGTATCAACCTTTAAATACAGCCTTGTTTCTTCAGGCTTGGTTTCAGTGTGCAGGATGTTTGTTCAGGCATCAGCAGTGCCCTCATGCTAGTGACAGAATCAGGTTTGAGAGGCCGAGAACAAATAAAGCTTGAAGTGTCCCACATAGCAGCTCTGTGGGGAGGTCAAATAGCAACAGTGAGCCTTTTGGAGAAGGCGCCATTGAAAGATGCGTCAATGACATCGTGATGGCCCCAAAGACAGAAGAAGAATTGATTGAGCTCATGTGGAGCCAGAGGCTCTGCTCACCTATCTTTCTCTCAGAATAAAAGTGCTCATGTAACTCCTACAATTCTGTATATAATTTCACTTGAATTGAGTATAACTGGTTAGAAATCAAAATATCAGCTCTAGTTGCCCCTAAATAAAATCTCCAAGGAGGGCAAAACAAAAGGAAATATGATTAAATTGGAGGTAGGGGGTTTTAGTTTAGATGGAAAAACCTAGAACATCTGTAACACTGATCACTAAAGGCGAGCTTCCGGGCTTCCATACACTTTCCTCTGGCATGTTTCCTGGCAGAGGAAGAATAGAAAATGTAGATCTGGTCCTTTTTATTTAATAGCCTTATGGTCTAGCAGAAGTTCTGCTTATTTTAAGAGAAGATTAGACTCCCTGATCATCCAAACTGCCTGTCCTCCCTACTGAATTATTTTTAATTCTGTAAGGTTGGCTTGTGTCACTTTGATAAATCTTTTAGTTTAAGATTTGGACTCAAATCCTAGCTCATTCCATCCTGCTCCTGGCAGGCAGTCTTCCACAGACTACTAACAGTCCTAGACAAAGTATCTTTAATGTGATTCATGATGTTAAGCAAAGGAAAATCCTTAAAATCAAGGTTGAGGACACAGGGGGAAAAGAAAACAAGATCCTATGAGTTAGAAAAACTGTTATATTCTCAAAACAGAGATTAGGATTCCAAATACCATACACCTCCCTCCTCTCCCTGAAAAGAACTTAAAGTAGACTTTCTGTCCTCTTGTGACTAATGATTGCTATCATCTCAACCAACCTAGCTTCCCAGAAGCTTTTTTTTTGAATGTCTGCTTCCAGCCTTTTCTAATCCTCAGCATCACCATGATTTTCCTATGTACAAAGCCCTACTGGAGATATTATGAATAATACAAAGAACTACAGTTAGTCTATGCTTTGTACTCTCAAAGCACTACTTAGTATAGTTTCTAAAGGAAAGCAACTATGCAAAATTCCCCTTTATATTCTCTACATTGGCTAACAAAGTGTCTGAAACATAGAAGCATGTTAAATAAGTAAATGAATAAATGGTCTCATTGGAAGACCTCTAATGATAGAGGTCACAGGAGAAGATCCAGTGCCTTGAAAGGTAGGATCTGAGCTCAGTATTAAGTGATGTACATTGTTCTACACTTTCCAGTACGGTAACAAGGTACTTGTGACTGGTTCAATTTAAATTAAAATAAACAAGAGTTCCTCAGTCTTATTGATCATATTTCAAGGGGCTGCCACAGTGAGCAGTGTAGAGAAGATCTCCGTCATTGCAGAAAGTCCTGTTGGACAGCGCTGGTCTAGATAGAATGGAATAGAAATCACAAGGCAGGGATGTACCCTGCCTTATAGACCAGCTCGGTCTCATAGAAGATAAGAACGAGAGGATCGTGGTGGCTTCTGGACACCAGACTACAAAAGAGAACAAAACAATGGGAGTCATCTCAGAAAATGCATTTAGACAGCATACATTGTTGAAATAGAAGAAGATTTGGGGGAAGAGGACTAGCTAAGAAGCAACAACTAAGAATGAATGATCAACACACCAGACCAGGATAAAGTAGACTGAAAGAGGGCAAATAAGGTCTTCTGAGAGAGGGAGAAACAGGATGTGAAACCGGATTGAAGAGGAAGAAAGAAGCAGGGAGGTTGCAGGGTCCCCAGCTAGGCTCAGGTGAAATGGAAGGTGAAGGGAAGGGAGAGGTCAAGGAGACTCCTCCAAAGTGTCACACTTGACTGAAAGATCACTAATAACAGAAATTCAGAGGTGAGGCATGGAACTGGCTTTAGGTGGGTTTGTCTTAATATTAAATGGTGTCCTGTCCTGCCCTCAGAAGGCTATAATCATCTGGAGTTGAAGAGTATGGTGGCCAGGCTACCCTGAACCACTCAGGTTGAGCCCAAATGGTTTCCTCACTTCAGCATTGAGGATTACCAGGGACGACAGCCCCCAGGAAGTGAACTACAGTCTTAAAATGACAGAACTGTGGCCTCTGTAGAGTTCCAGCTCAATGGTTAAGTACAGACACTTTGAAGCTACGACTTCCTATGCTGGAATCCAGGCTCCCCACTTTAATGGTGGTGAAACCTACTAGTAACATACTGGGTCAATATACTTAACGTTCCCTTGTCTCAGTTTCTTCATCTGTAAAATGGGTATCCTAATAAGGTTGTTATTTGGATTAAATTAATTAACACATGCTTGGGTACAGAGGCTCACACCTCTAATCTCAATGCTTTGGGAGGCCGAGGCAGGAGGATCACTGGAAGCCAAGAGTTTGAGACCAGCCTAGGCAACATAGACAGATACTATCTCTATTTAAAAAAAAAAACAAACATTAGCCAGGAGTGGTGGTACATGCCTGTAGTCCCAGCTACTCAGGAGGCTGAAGTGGGAGGATCCCTAGAGCTCGACTGTTGAAGGGTACAGTGAGCTATGATGGCACCATTGTACTCCAGCTTGGGTGACAGAGTGACAGCCTACCTCTTATTAAAAAAACTGACAAATTTTTTTTACTAACATATGAAAAATGCTGAGAACCGTGCCTGGCACACAGTAATCACTATATAAATGTTGTGCTTTTCTCTCTTCTACTTTAGCAGAGAAGATTCACAACTGTGAATCTTAGCTAATGTTTCTGAGGACCAGCTCTTCCACTGATTAGTCAGATTATTTTTTTCCAACACAAGAATTACTCACAATTTTTACATTCAGGAAGGACTGATGAAGTAGTTTAATAAAGTGTTGTACGATGCATTTCTCCTTTGATCTTTTATTAATTTGGTGCAAACGTAATTGCAAGTTTTGCCATGGAAAGTAATGGCAAAAAATACAATTACATTTGTACCAGCCTGATAGCTGACAGAGGCATTAAAAAGAAACATTTCGAGCCAGGTGCAGGGGCTCACAGCTATAATCCCAACAGTTTGGAAGACCGAGGCAGGAGGATCACTTGAGCTCAGGAGATTAAGACTAGTCTGGACAACATGGCAACACCTCATCTCTGCTAAAAATTTAAAAATACATATTAGCCTGGCGTGGTGGCTCATGCCTGTCATCCGAGCTACTCGAGAGGCTAACGCAGAAGGATTGCTTGAGCCCAGGAGTTCCAGGCTGCAGTGAGCCAAGATCATGCCACTGCACTCAAGCCTGGGTGACAGAGTAAGACCATGTCACAAAAAGAAAAAAGAAATACCATTCTGACCTTTATAGTTTTTTTCACCTTCAGTTTAATTAGGTAAAATTCTAAAAAATCAGAATGGAAGAGTCTGATTAATTTTGTGGTTACAGACTGAGATGCCGCTCAGATGAGATCTTTCTAGCCCTTCTACCTCATTTCCTACCTACTTCCTGTTCCTGGTTGTTCTCGGGTTAAACAAAACTAGGTTTGATTTGAAGCAAATCAAACTGTGGAAATTTTAGGCACTTTAGTGGAGGAGGGAGAAGGAAAGATAAAACCTGTTTTCTTAACCTGTCACTTAAAGCCAGAACTTTTATTTCATGTGAGAAAATTTCTCATTTGTTGTTTTCTTGTTTTTATAGGTCTTGTTCAAAAGTTTATTCTAGTCCTAGAGCACACCTACTTGCAGTGAGCCATTACAAACAGTCATTGGCACTGTGGTATTTTAAATTTCTATAGAAACTACCAATGAAAGGCAGAGCAAGTCAGTGCTGAAGAGCCCCTACTGTTAACAAGTCAGGAAACAGTAACTCCCAGAATAACTTCTTCTGACAAGGTCATTAAAATTACTAATACTCATTTTATAAATTCTAGATTACCAACGTGTGGTTGTTTTTTTTTTTTTTTTTTTTTTTTTTTACTTTCTTCTTAGGTGAACTTGAACAGAAATTTGAACTGGAAATCAGTCCTCTTTGTAATCAACAGAAAGATTCCATCCCTAGTATACAAATTGGTGAGTTAAATTCAGTGTTAAGTTTAAATGAATACCGTTGGCACATCTCACAAAAGTCACAAAGAAAAGATCTACACACAACTTTCAGAAGATCAGCACTGAAGGTTTAATCAACATCCCTTTGAATGGCTGAGTCCAAATTAACCCTTTAATCACAACTAATTTACTGGCTAATTGTCTATTGAGAATTTATGAAACATAGGATAGAAGCTTTGTTACAAGCCCTTAACTAACTTGTATTATTTTGATTTTGTAGTTTAGAATAGAGTCAAAATCAGAAAGAGTAGAAGAAAAGTAACAAGAATCAACTATTTGCACTCTCTTCAGGGCATGAAGGTGGGAATTCTCAGAATCTGCTTTCAGGACCCTTCCAGTTTGGGCCACTACCCCTTTTCCCTAACACTTGCTCCCAGTCTCCAGGGCCCAATCTCCAGGCCTAAAGCCTGTGAGCCATGCTCTCCCGCTGTGTCCTGGGATCCCCTGTCTCACTAGTCCTTCCTTCAAAACGTATTTTCAGGTTCATTCTCTTAACCACACTCTCTTGCAAGTGTCAATGGTGGGAAACAAAGTATGATGCCAATGTATCCAAAATAATTATGGCTTTATCTAATTAAGTAATGAAGCAAATCAGTCATGAACTCTTAAGTCATGAAGACCATGAAGCAAATCAAATTGTGGAAATTTTAGGCACTTTAATGGAGGAAATATTTTTGCTCCAGTAAGAATTTCTATCACACCTTAAGACACTCCACCAGTTCCACCCACCTGTAAAGCAAGTCTTTCTTTTCCTTGCAGTTCCCTTCCATTGAACCCGAACTCAGAACTTTATTTTCCTTATAAATGCCGATCCTGACATGTACCAGTTCATGTTTTGTACCTGTTCCCATAAACTTTAGACAGCTGAATGCATTCACAGCGCTACTACAGACACTTGCAAGGCTCAAGGTTTAATGGTTTGACGTTGGTAGGGAAGGGGACATCTGAAAAGATAAGCTGAAAATTAAGAAAACCAGAGCAAGTTAGAATTGTATAATATCACCGAAGGTCAAATCTAATCTACTGTCCCACAAAGGAGTCATAAAGTCATCCTTAGGAAACAGGACAAAATAAATCTAGCTACAAAGATTTTAATGGAATATACAACTATCAAAATAGGTATGTTTGATTATTAGGCATTCATTTTTTTTTCCAAATTGTCCTTAATATTGTTACATAGTTTTGACAGTTAAACTGACTCCTCCACCCCAAAGTTGGGAGCTGGGGGTGGTGACATAAAAAAATAGAACCCAGAAAAGATGATAATACAGAATTGCTGGGTGGCTGGCAGGGAAGCATCAGCAGCAGAAATGCAGCCTCAGCCTCCTGGGATCCAATTCTCTCCTATCAATTGCTTTAGCCATGGAGGCACTGCAGACAAAATTCAAAATTAGATGCTAACTAAAGTCCTAATCCTGAGACTCCCTGTGTTAAGCTCTAGTTAGAAAGAAATTTACCAAGCAACTGTCAATGACATTTTGAACCCCCTAAACAAAAGGACTCACGTGATTCAGCATACAACCTGGATTCGTGAGACAGACCTGATTTCAGAGATTCTGTCTTGTTGTCATGAGAACACACTTATTTTGTCAGATCGTATGTCCTGATTTTCAGCTCAGGAAAATGTGGTTACCATAGACACCTCTTTTAAAAGGGGCCCGGGGTTGAGTGAATAGGAAAATCCTATGGATGCTACACTAGCACACCAATAATAAAGAGAAAGGGAAGATGATTATAAAACAACCCTTAATACATAAATCTTTGTCTGTTTCACACTGGCCAGCTCATAGAGACTGAGGGTTGGGGGGGTGGTAGGGACAGATCAGGCTAAACTGGTAAAAACCCCAAGAGTTAAACAGAATTTGGTGGATTCTGCAGGCTCTAGCCCCCGAGACAACAATTTTTCCAGTGGGTCCTAAGTAATGCAGCTATTTCTTCTGTCCTTATTCCTCTCTGACTGAAACGTTCCCTTTCTTTTTCCTGCCTCAATCCAAAATGAGAATTTTCTGAGTGCCACTCTCAGCTAGTCTCAGACCTGATTTTTCTTTTTCAGTAATTCACATCTCCCCAAGTGGAACTAGGGCTTAATTTCTCCTCCCCAACTCCACGCATCCTTCTCTCTACCAAATTCTGCATTTTCAAAGGAAGATATTAGCCAGGCAGGGTGACTCATGCCTGTAATCCCAGCACTTTGGGACGCTGAGGCGGGCAAATCCCTTGAGGCCAGGAGTTCAAGACCAGCCTGGACAACAAGGCAAAACCCAGTCTCTATAAAAAAAAATAAAAATATTAGCTGGGTGTGGTGGCATGTGCCTGCCTGTAGTCCCAGCTACTCTGGAGGCTGAGACAGGAGGATCACCTGAGTCTGGGGGGTAAAGGCTTCAGTGAGCTGTGATCACGCCACTGCACTCCAGCCTGAGTGACAGGGTGAGACCCTGTCTCATAAAAAAATTAATTAAAACAAAAAATAAAGAGGTATTAAATCAAATGAACCTCTAATTGGTGAAATCTATAGAAGGCTGAAGAGAAAGAGGTTTTCCTTCAATCCTTGTCTACTCTGAGGTTACCATTTTCCCTATTCCCCCTTCCTCCCCCCAACCCCCTTCTATTCCATCACCCCTCCAGGAGGACAATAGCCCTTGAGAAGAGAGAGGTTGGCAGAACACACTGATGGACCAGTTTCCAAATCTGATAATGTGGAAGCCTTCCTTAATTTGAAAAACTGCCTTCTGGTGTCATTCAGACTTTAAAATCACTTTTCTACCTAGCATAAGAAGTCTTGATATCTGAAAAGTACACAGATAGAATACCAGGGTCACTTCAGAAAGAAAATGAGGTTTTTCTTTTTTTTGAGAGTTGGATTTTTAAATGTTGGATTTGTAACTTTTTTATACTGAGGTAAACTTAATATTCGTACTTTGAACTTTAGTACAATTTTGCAAACTGTCTTTTTAGATATCTAATATCTCTTTGAAGGTGAATGATATTAGAAATTAAATATGGAGATTCTGGAGGAGGTAAAGAAAATTCGAGAACAGCAATCAAAATGCGAAGTCCTCATCTGCTGACACCCTGTACAACCTTACCAAAATGCCAAATACAGACATTGAGTCACTGGGTTAACTTTCCCACTCCAGTTCAGGTTCTCTACTATGATCTCACAATATTTAAATCATATTTCACATCAGATGAGACAATGCAGAAATGTACAACAATACTGTGTATTGCTGCATCCCTCTTCCATCTCTATGGCATTCTCAAAGGCCAAGTGTCTGCTGTTTGTTCAACAAAAAGATAATCAAATCTAGCCTGTAAATCACATGCCTGTAAACATACAGGATTTGCTGTTGGAAATTCTCGTTAGGCTGAAAAACATTTGCCTTTTCTCCCCACAGCTACACATCAAGGAAATATACAATAAAACCTAAGTAAGTCCAAGTTTGTGATGATTCCAACAGTTCTGGCTTAGACTGAAAGTTATCTTTTTTTAATAAACCATGTTTATTATGAAAAGCACATTAACAGCAAAACTTGATTAGAAAGCAACAAATCTGAAATATGTAAGAGAACAGACGTGCAAACAAAGAAGTCTTATCAATCTTATCTAGTCATTAAAGCAGGACTTTCATACAGGTAAAAAACCTGTATTCAAAATGAGTGAACATTCTTTAAACTTGTTTAACACAACTGAAAGCAAGACAGGACTGTTCAACGATAATCTTGAAAAAGATATCCCACAGGGTAAGGGTATGAATTCTTCAGGTGATCTAAATATGTGAGGTGTCCCTTCCTGGTGTCATTTGCCCTTTGCATCCCTTCCCCACCTGCCTTCTTTAGCTCCAGGACAGACATATATACATATACATACACACACACACACACACACACACACACACACACACATATTTTCTTATATGTCTTTCTCCCTCTGCAAATAATAATAGCCAATATTCACTGGGTGTTTACTCCGTGCCAAGAGCTTTCTAAGCACTGTACATACATTAAGTCATTTAATTGTAACAACCCTATGGGTTTAGCATTCTCTTTAGCATCTTTTTACAAATGAGGAAACTGAGGCACAAAGCCATTCAGGGACAAGCCCAAAGTGACACATCTTATGCTCCTAGGCTGAGGGTAACCACCGTTATCTTGCTTGCCTTCCTGTCCCTGGAGCTGAAAAATTTTATTAGGCTGAAAACATTTGCCTTTTCTCCCCACAGCTACACATCAAGGAAATACAATCAAACCTAAATAGGGCCGTGCGCAGGGGCTCAGGCCGGTAATCCCAGCACTTTGAGAGGCGGGGGCGGGCAGATCACTTGAAGTCAGTAGTTCGAGACCAGCCTGGCCAACATGGCGAAACCTCATCTCTACTAAAAATAACAAAAATTAGCCAGGCGCCGGGGGTCCCCAGTCGTGCTTGGGAGGGAGCAAGGAGCGGTTTCGCCGCCCTGTGGAGCTGAGCCTGCCCTGCCTGTTCTAGGTTTCATGAGCTACATCGTGGAGCCGCTCTTCCGGGAATGGGCCCATTTCACGGGAAACAGCGCGCTGTCGGAGAACATGCTGGGCCACCTCGCGCACAACAAGGACCAATGGAAGAGCTTGTTGCCCAGGCCGCACAGAAGCAGGGACAGCAGTGGCAGCGGGCCCGACCACGACCACGGAGGCCAAGGGACTGAGAGCGAGGAGCGGACGGCGCGGGAAGGCGACAGCTCCTAGGGCCGGCCCAGCTCAGACACGGACACCACGTTCTCCAGCGCGGGGTGGGGTCCGGGGGAACCCTTGCCCAGCGGCCCATCCACTCTCTGGGTGTTGTCCTGGGGCTCTTTGGAACGCCACCTTCCTCCCACTTACCTGCCTCCCCTTCTTTTTGCAAGTGTACAGAAGCCATTTTTCACCTCAGCATTCGCTGCCAAAATGAGCAACTCCATTCAGTAACGTGGGGGGCTGATCCCACGGGCAGGCTCGCCCTGCTCCAGGAGACCTGATAGGAGGAAGAACGAGGTGCTCCCGCCTTGTCTGCCAGGGCCCCGGGTCCCACTGGACCAAGCAGCAGTTCTCGAGTCCGGAGTGTTTGCCATCTGACTGCTGATCTGCGTGACAGAACCACCAGCATATTTGCAACGCCAAGGATATTGATCTTAAGTGCAAGAGTACAAATAAGAGCGTGAGAGAAAGTACCTTCTATTTTAATAATAATTATTATAAAAATAATAAATCTTTTTAACTTTTATATTTGATGCACTAGACAATGGAGCTGCAACTTGGACTAAGATCATTCAATGTACCCAAACTTGAACAGGGGGTTCATTGTTTTGCTATTGACTTTATTATGCCACTTTGGGGCAGAGACTTGGCATCTTCTCAGCTTAAGAAACCACGTTTCCTATCCAATCCGAAGGGAAGGTGCTGTACAGTTCATTCCTTTGCACCATTAGCCAATCTGTCTTTTATGGATTCCATGACATGTTTATATTCACCCATGTACATTTTCTGTAAATATCAAACGCTACTGATTCCCATGCCAAAATACATGAGTATTATGGGATTGCTACCTGTACAAACAATGGCACTGTGAACAGAATACTGTTAGTTTTAATACAAGAGAATGCATTTGTAAATATGGTATAGAGTTTATTAATATACTATTGTTTGCAGATAAAGGCCTTAACTTTAAACATCTTTCATCTTCTGAAAGCTGCCCGACTTTAATCCTCATAGATGTCTTTCTCAACTGCCTTCCCACGTCCATCTGTATGTTTTCCAGCTAAGGTCACAAACCAAAACTGAATAAAGTCTTTGAGGAAACATTTTGGAAACTTCACATGCATTCCGCTTGAGACCATAGTGTTTAATCTATGGCACCAAGCATCGTTTCCTCAGATTAATGAGACCCTTCAACAAGCCTGAATCAGTCACTTTTCAACGCAGCGATGTTTTAACAAGCCAGCTGCTAAGCTTGTGTTTATGTGACTCCTGTTACAGAACATGGCGGTGCATCAGCCTCACAGGAGACATAGCAGGTCTTGAAAACCTTCTATGACCCTGCCATCTAACCATCAGGGAATTCCCTGCTCCCATGCCACACATTTGTCTGTTATGGCTACAGTACCAAAGTACTTTTGGTGTATGGCTGGTGTGCGTTTCTTTAGTGTCAAGAGTAACTGGATTTTTCTTTTTCCTCAATCTCATGTGAACAACTACCCAACTGTTTAGCTGAAGTTCATATTATTTAAGTAAAGAAAATATTTCAGTTGTATAACAGACTTTACCTTCCTGGCAGGTCATTGTAGTTAATTATGTCTTTTAGCTAGGAGTATCACCTTGGAATTTCGTTGCCATTTTTTCTGCAGACACTTGGCCGTAAAATCAGTTTGTTACAGCATTCTTCTCTAGGCTGCTAAACGCTGTGCATTGAGCCTTTTCTTTAGAAGTTTCAGCATAACTAATGTTAGATGAAAATTGCTGATGTCTCTTTCTTTTTACCTTAAACAGCGTGGTAGTGGGAGAAGGATTGTTTCTGCCACTATCAACCTATTCCTCAAGCTGGTAGAATGAAAGCTAGCGCTCATTTCCTAAGTACAACTGTTTTGGGAGGTTTTCTCCTAACAAACAAGTAAAATATTGATTGACCTGTAATAAGTTCCTATAGAGAGACTGAGGCTTGCAGAATTAAGGTTTAGGGGAAATTTTGGAAAGTTGGTTATATTTTCATTAAAGTAGGAGAGATTGTCAGAGGGTGCTAAAGAAAGTGTGAAGATCTTATGAAATGGGTGGATGGTAAGTTGAAATTATTGATGTGGGTAAGAAGGGAGGTTGTGGAAAGCTAACAGTAACTTTGTATTTTTTTTTCTGTAAAACTCTGAGCTGATATATTTTTCTGTATCACTTTAGTATTATGCAGCTCTCAGCTTGGTGAGGTCCCAGAAGAGAATATGTAAGATGTATTCCTATTTCCGAGCCAGTCTTACTTTGGTTTGATGGTGCAGAAAGGGCTTTTGAGTAGTCTATTTTTAATGTATATAAGGTCAAATCAAGGAAGGCAATTGCTGGGGACAAGAAAGGTAGGGTTAGGAAAGAAGACACCATTTTAGCTAATGGGGTTTCTGCCTTGGGTCTAAAAAATGGCTTTGTTTAAATTATATGATCATTTAGATAAATGAGATTCCAGGTGTGCTTAGTAGTTCCAAGTTGATAGGGCAAAAGTGGCTATGTTACAATTAGGTCTTGAAGCACTCACAGAGAAAAAACTGCCAAACATCCAGTGGGTAAGCTTGTGATGCAGCTACAAGTACATAAAAATCTGAAGTAAAATGAGGCATAAACTCAATGCAGCTGCCTCCCTCATTCCACTGTCTGCAGAGTTCTTGAGTTCCTCATTTGTTGGTAAAAAGAAAAAGAATATGAATGTATTTTTTTCTTGCCTATTAGTGGACCTCTTGCAATATTTCAATAGGAGTCCAGTTACTAGTTAAAACACAGCTATTGGATCATCCACAGATTTTATCTTTACAATCTTGTTCTCCTTGTCCATGGACCATCGATAGTTGGCTTGCCAAGTTTAATACTTTCATTGCTTGAGTAGAAAGGAATCAAAGGGCTGTGTGTAGTAACCTGATGGTAAAGTTAGGATCAAATTAAGACATAGAGAGAGAATATATATCACGGCCAGGCCTGATAGGCAAAACCTGCTCTTGCTTTTAATAGCAGTGATGAATTGTCAGGACCTTATTTATGAAACGCTGATCCCGTAACTCCCTGCTAGGCTGAGTAAAAACCAGGCTCTTTCTCCCTGCTTATGACTTCCCACAAAGGGACTTGCGGCATCCTGCAAACTTGTCTTCAAATAGTGCTTTCTACAAAACTAGCATTTGTTTTGTAATCTTTTCTCATGTTGAATCAGATCTGCTCACTGATTTAGGTTTGGTTATGAGCTTGTATCTCACTGTATTTCTCATGCTTTGTTCTTTTAAACCCTTTAAAAACTGTGTCATTTTGTATACATGTGTGAGGTTTGGGAAAAAAAAGAAAAAAAAAAACACCTTGTGAGTTTTGCTCAAAATGTGGCCTAAATATCCATTGGCATGTCTAGATGAACAATTAAAAATAAAGATCATTTCTTTAAAATATCACAAGATGAAAAGATCCTAATTCTCACCAAGGAACATGTTACCAGCCAACCAACTGGATTCCATAAAAGGAAGCCACTGCTCAGGAAACGTTCAAGGAAAGAACGCAGGTGCAAACATGGTCCACGTGACTCCTTCCACTTTGGAGGCTACAGAAACACCCATGTATGTCCATGAAGGTATCACTTGCTGGTTAGTGCCAAGTTAGAGAAACCGGGCCACAATTCAGCTCTACATTTCCCCAGAGTCCTGATATTTTTCTGACTCATATTTGTCAAACTCATATATGAATGAGAATGAGGTACAATGTTTTAAGTTGTAAAAACATAACCGACTCAGTGCAAGAATTATTTGTGAACAATAGGTTCTCACATTTCAGAATTACAGGCCATGAAGAACAATAGACCAGTTCAGGCAGAACAACTGAGTATTCTAAATCCATCTGGAAAGAGAGAAAAAAACCACTGCCAATGTTTCCAATGTTTTCTTGGAGCTTTATGTATTGTCCTCATTTTATTAAGATTTGTGTTCAGAATCCCTCTGACTACTTAACGACTTCCCATGTTTGAATGCAAAGCTACTTTTTCATCTGTGGATGTTCTATATCACACGATAAAATCCAAAGAGATGCCTAGTAGTATTTCATGTAAAGGTCAGGCATGACTTCCAAATGTACATGGGAACCTAGCTGAAACATTGTCAAATAGGCCAAGCCTACATGAGCAGTTAGATTTCGATTAAAGAAATATTGATTGAGGGTCTACTATGTGCCAGATGTGGAGCTAAATTTTGGGATATAAAAAGACCCAGTCCTTCCAGGAGCATTCAAGCTTGTCCCAGAGACTGGAGTTACCAGTGAACACTTCTTAGAGAATTCGTGAAACAGCTGTGATTGCTCAAATGCAGCTAACACTCCCTCCTGGCATACAACACAATAGAAAGCAGACACTTCCAAGACAGAAATGGATCCCAATCCTGGTTCTGTCACTAATTTATCCTCTGACTAGAGAGAAGTTACCAAAAAACTGCTATAAAATTATTTCAAGACAATAATATATTTTATAGTATTGTGTGGCAATTAAAAGAGATTGCATACAAAAGGCACTAAGCATGTCCTCTGGTACATGGTAGATGCTGAATACATAGAGGGTCTCCCTTCAATTACAAAATCTTACCAAATAGCCATTCTTGCAGTAATAGGAATGGGGAGCGTTTACGGGGCACAAAATATAGATAAAGAAGAATTGGTGGTTTCACACTAGGAAGTCAAACTTATAATTAATCCAGAGAGATTATTAGAAAAAAAGTTTAAGTTTTAGCTGATGTGGTTTGAAATAACATTGGCTTGTCTTAGTCATCTACGCAATTTATTTCATTGTCTGAAATTCAAATTCCCATATTAAAAGTGCTGATATAATCTTCAGCATTTTCTTTCCTTTTAAGGAAGCAAGGCAGTAGGGTTTTAAAAGCATTGTTAGGGCACTGTGGCTCACATCTGTAATTCTACCACTTTGGGAGGCTGAGGCAAGAGGATTGCTTGAGTCCAAGAATTTGAGACCAGCCTGGGCAATGTAGTGAGACCCCCATCTCTACAAAAATAATTTAAAAATAATAAAGTGTGGGCTTTGGACCAGGTACCTTACACCGGTATCTCAGCCCTTTGGTAGGCCAAGGTGGGAAGATCACTTGGGGCTAGGAGTTCAAGACCAGCCTGAGCAACACAGCAAGACCCCTGTCTCTACAATAAGTAAAAAGTAACTTAAAAAAAGTGTGGGCTTCAGAGTCAGATAGACCAGAATTTAAATCCCTCATTATCATTAACTACCTAACCCTAGGCAGTTTATTTAATATCTCTGAGCCTCCATCTCCTCATGTATAAAATGATAGTAACATCAACCTCCTGAGTGGTTGTGAGGGTGAAATTAAATAACATACATAAAGTATATAGCACAATTTTTAGCAAAAAGGGAGTACTCAAGAAATGTAAATTCCTACATCACTTAAGAAAAAAATGTCTATGAAGTGGGAGTTAGGATGTATTTTTCACTTTCTGTAGATTGTGCCAAATTTTATGCAAATGAAAACAAGATGCATTAACAGAGACGGAGAGCGATTATATCTACAGGTGGCCAGGTCAGTCATAAAAATAATCCTTGTATTACGGACAAAAAACTATTTGAAAAAATGATTAAAGAAAAAAGACAGTGACTCAGAGGTGCTAAGGATATACTGATAAGACCAAGGACAGCTCCCAGATCCTTCCCCTTGGAGACCCCACCCCTCCCTGACCCCTCCCGGACCCCTAAAAAACAAAGCAAAACAAACAAAGACCAAGGACAAATAAGGGATTATTTCTTAAGATTTTAAAGTAAATATTCCACAGTTCAGCCCAAGAGAACTAGTCGGTCTGGTTAATTTAAGACTTTCCTAGAGCTGACAAGAATACAGCCCTGGCTAGATAGAAGACTTAGTTAAATAAGCAAAATTTGATAACCTATCAGGTTTTCATGATGTCCACCCAAATCCTACAATTCCTATCCACCAAGGTTCCTGGTAGCCCTTCCCCTTGTCTCCTCTTCATCAGATCCTTTCTGGCCACTGGCAACAGAGGCTGAGGACTCCTGGAGAATCTCTGCAAATAGATGGCTCTGGGCAACACAGGAAGACCCCATCTCTACTGAAACTGTTAGAAAATTAGCCAGGCATGCTGATGCAAACTGCTGGTCCCAGATACCCAGGAGGCTGAGGTGGGAGGATAGCTTGAGACCAGGAGTACAAGTCTGCATGATATGTGATTATGCCACTGCACTCCAACCCAGGTGACAAGATCTTGTGTCAAAAAATAAATTTAAATTTAAAACTCAGTTCTAAATTAACATTTTCCAAATGGCATAAAAATGTGTGTGTCCAAAGATGTTTGCTAAGTGTTCCCTGAAAAAAAAAAAAAAAAAAAGTGGCTTCGTAGTCAAAGAATTTTGAGAAACAATGGATTAAATACATGGGTTTTGCTCAAAGATATTTGTTACGTGTTCTCTGGGGGGGGAAATGGCTTCATAATCAGAGAATTTTGAGAAATAATGGATTTATACATAAGTTTTGCTGAAAGATGTTTGTTAAGGGTTTCCTGAAAAAAAAAATGACTTCATAGTCAAAGAATTTTGGGAAACAATGGATTAAATGCATAGGTTTTGCTGCAGTATGCTTCTCAAGTGCTAATGGATATCTTCAACAAGGTGATACGGATGACATAGTTCGTTTGGATCTAGCTTTGATTTCATATCACAAAATCTTCCTTAACTATTCCAACCCAGGATGAGCTATCATTTTATTGTGATTGTCAGCTGTTTCGTGTTATCATTAATGATGCATGTGTGTGCATTCTGCCCAATCTGAGGTGCAATTTGTCATCATGGTTAACTTGCCTGAGTTCATGGCTTGACTTTACCACTTAGTAGGTGTCTGACTTTGGAGAGTTTTCAAACTTTCTGTGCCTCAGTTTCTTCATCTGTAAAAATATTATCTATTTCATAAGGGTTTTGAAGATTAAAAGAGTTCGTGCATGGAAAGCCATTTGAATGATGCCTGGCACAGAGAAAGCGCTAAGTATTGGCAAAAGCCATCATCTTCCCACATCCCCCTCTTAACCTGACTTGTAAGCTCTTTGATGATGGGGATAACTACCCTTTTAAAAACTATTCTCAGCCAGGCATGGTGGCTCACTCCTGTAATCTCAGCACTTTGGGAGGCCAAGGCGGGTGGATCACTAGGTCAGGAGTTCGAGACCAGCCTGGCCAACATTGTGAAACCCTGTCTCTACTAAAAATACAAAAATTAGGCAGGCATGGTGGCAGGCACCTGTAATCCCAGATACTTGGGAGGCTGAGGCGGGAGAATCCGGGAGGCAAAGGTTGCAGTGAGCTGAGACGGCACCACTGCACTCTAGCCTCGGTGATAGAGCAACATGCCATCTCAAAAAAAAAAAAAAATGCTATTCTCCATAGCATAGCACAGTCTTAAATAAAAGAACTTATTTATTTTTGATTGACAAATTGAAAATCACATTAGAATATGTTAACATTTAAATCCATACAGTTAAACTCCAATTGTAACAATAAATGTCCTAATAATTTGAATGCAGACGCTGTTTTTTCGTGTCCACGGTTGCTATCTGGTAGACCTTTAGCATTTTGAGAAACATAGTTTAGGAAAACAGTTTTTCTCCTCTCAGTTTATGAGTATACTCTTCTGAGTGGTGACAGTAGAAATAGTTTCCCTGAAGGCTTGATATCCAAAGACCTCTAGGTTTTTCTCTAGCCAACTGGAAAAGAAACCTACAGAAACACCACTAAATTGCTTCCTTTGCGGGACAAATTTGAGTCTCCTATTGTAATGCACAATCCAAGAGAAGACAGAGACAAATCCGAGTGCTCATCTTTAAAAAAGAACGGGGAATGACAGATGAGCCTCTTATTTTATCCTTGTTAAAAGCACTTCAGATTACATATAACCTACTCCTACTCTTCTTCCCAGTAAGCAATTATATGTGCATTTTTAAAGTTGTCAGCAAAGTAAGCCTAATGGACCAAAATGTACGATCAGTTTTGGGGGTTATTTATTTCTTCCTTCTTCCCACTGCTGTAATTTGGTTTGGGCCTTTTTTAACCGGAGAGTCAGACTTTACATTTTAATGAATTCATTTTCTCAGAAACATCTGTCTCAGTCCACATTTGGAAAAAAAGAAAAACTTCTACATGAAAACAAAAGACCTATAGTGTTATAAAATAGCATACATGAGAATTATATTCTGTAATTACCAGTTTTCAAGCATTAACCTTACTGAGACGGAGACAACAAAAAGTTCTGATCTTTCAATACTTGAGTTATGTAACATGTTCTGAAGTATTTCTGAGATGCCTCTACTGACTTTACTTATTAAAAATGTGTTCATTATTTTAGAGATAGCTTGACAAAAAACACCTTTTGGCATCTGAAGCTTTATC